GCTCAACTTGGTTCCTATCCACAAGATATCTCATTATGAGAGGAACTCTCATGCAGTTGTCCACGGTTTGAGTCCTGGACCCAGTGGCTTAAAACTCACAGTGTGCTCATTTGCATGAATGCCCCAAATCCCAAGAGGAGAATAGAGAAGGGATTGTGGCATGGCCATCCTCTCTGGGAGGTGATTTCACGCTTTCTGTCTGTCCAGTGAGCACATGCACTCTCTAGCAATAATGTCTCTAAAAAAAAAGAAAAAAGATATCTCATTATGTATATGAAATATTCCAAAACCTAAAAAAATGTCTAAAATCAAAAGCACTTCTTGTCCCAAGTATTTTGGTTAAGGAATACTCAACTTGTATTATTATTATTATTTCTTAATTATGCCATTTTGGGAAATATTTGTCTACAGGTTAATTAAATATTAATAAATATAAATATAAACACAAACATAAATATAAATATAAATAGCATCAGTTAATTAAATTTAAATATAAAGATAGGCCCAGGTCTGATCCCAAAGCACAGAGGTTAAGTGTTGTACAGAAGGGGCTGAATCCCATATGGCCAACCAAGGTTTGAATGTTAGCCCCAGTGGCTTGAAAAACAGGCCAACTCCATGTGCAGGCATGCCTAGGATTCCCAACAGCATGGAGAAAAGGAGGAAAAAGGATTGTGGCATGACAAGGAGTTGGGGAGAGTTCACTCACTCTCTTTCTCTCTCTGGTATAAGCATGTGCCCTCTGGCATAACAAACGAACAAACAAGACATAGGCTCCGCCACAGCCACAGTGGGGCAGTGATGATGCAGCCTTCTGTAATTCTAAAGGCTGGATGGAAGACCTGGAATCATTTTTTAGGTCAACCTGTACATGCCAGTCACCACATGCCTGAGATCCTGGTTGACTGAAGGACTGGGGCATGGGGTGGTGGATGAGTGTGTGAGTCTTTGTTCAAGGTGATTATTTTTCTCACTCTGTCTGTATCACGTCCATGAAAGAGATAAATAAACTTGAAAAATCTAAAAATATAGAACTAGAACCACTTAAATGGCAGTCATCACTGTGTTAAGTGTAGTCCTGCAAACATTCCCTGAATATGCACTCTGTGCCACACACTATGTTAGGCACCAAAGATTTGAAAGGCTAAACAAAATAATCTCTGTCATAAGGAATTCACAGTCTTGTGTTTGCAATCTTCTCATCCATAAAGTATAATGTGACAATTGCTATAACCCGCAATATAAGTTGCTCTGAAAGCACAAAGAAAAGAGCAGCAAAAGGAGTCATGGAAAGCTTCCCAGAATAAGTGACTTTTGTAATGAGCTTTGAGATGGAGAACAGAGGGAGGTTTCTAGATGTAGAAAGTAACAGAAGCCACTCCAGGAAAGCAAATAGCACGTGAAAAGTCATAAATAGGATAGTGAATTCAGGAAATTGGAAATAGTTTGTTAGGGCTGGAATGTAGACAGAGGTGGGAGTGGAAAGATGTGACTAGAAAAGTATGTAAAAAGGGAGTGGAAAAGATCTCTTACATCCTGGAAGAAAGTTTAAATAATATACTACAGACAATGAGAACCAGCAAAAAATTCCAAGCAGGTCAGTATTTGATTTGATTTGAGGATTAGAGAGGTTTTTTTCTTTGAAGGCTGTGTGGAGGATGGATTAGGAGGTCAGTTGGAAGGTTGTGCACACATGAGATCTTAAATTTCCAAAGCAAGAAAGAATCCATTAAAATGGATATAAAACCATGAATATGAAAGCACTTCTAGAGATAGGAACTTTAGGTTTATTTGTTCAGTCTTTTTGAAGAGGATATATATAAGATGAAGTAAGAAATGATTTTCTGCTTTGGTGGTTGGCTGGATGTCAGTACAGGTAAAAAGAAATGTTGGAAATAAATAGGGAAAAATTTATAGAGAAAATCAAGGACTTGGGTATATTAAATTGAAGTTTTCTAGAGTATTCAGGAAGTTGAGTAAAAGAGATCTTGGGTTCAGGAGAAATTATAGGTTTAAATTATTAATTTTGGATCACTAATATATTTTTTAAAATAAGGGATGACTATAAAACCTTGTCTGTAGGAGAAAATTTCTATGATGTTCTATTATGAAAATTCTTTAAGTAACACCAGTCTGGAAAATATAATGTATAGCAGATGACATGATGGTATACCTAGAAGACCCAAAGGTATCCATGAAAAAATTTCTTGAAGTAGTAAGTGAATACAGTAAAATGGCAGGATACAAAATCAACATCCAAAAATTTATAGAATTTCTATATATGAACAACAAGTTGAACGAAGTAGAGCTGAAGAAAGGAATCCCTTTCACCATAGCCACAAGATGTCTAAGATACCTAGGGATAAACCTAACTAAGAAAGTCGAGACCTTTAATAAGAGAACTATGAAAATCTTAAAAAAGACATTGAAAGTGACATAAAAAAGTGGCAGGACATCCCAGGTTCCTGGATTGGAAGAATTAACATAATCAAAATGGCAACTCTACCCAAATTAATCTACATGTTTAATGCAATTCCAATCAAAATACCAGAAATATTCTTCACAGATCTAGAAAAGACAATCATAGAATTAATCTAGAATTATAAAAGACCTCGTATTGCAAAAGCAATCCTGGCGCAAGAAGAATGGAGTAGGAGGCATATCACTCCCTGATCCCAAGATATACTATAAAGCTATGATCATCAAAACAGCATGGTATTGGAACAAAAAAAGACATGTGGACCAATGGAATAGAATAGAGACCCCAGAAATAACTCCCAAAACTTACAGCCAACCGATTTTTGACAAAAGATATCAGTCAATCCATTGGGAAAAAGAAAATGTCCTTAGTAAATGGTACTGGAAAAACTGGGTATCGACCTGCAGAAAGATGAAACTGAACCCCCATCTTTCACCATTAAGAAAAATCAACTCAAAATGGATCAAAGATCTGAACCTAAGATCTCAAACAATAAAACTACTGGTGGAAAATACTGGGGAAACTCAAGGAAACATTGGAGTTGGAATGACTTCTTAAATAAGACTCCCAAAGCACAGGCAATAATCCCTAAATAGACAAGTGGGACTACATCAGACTAAGAAGTTTCTGCACAACAAAGGACACAGTAACAAGTGTGAATTGACAACCCTCAGAATGGGAAAATATTTTTGTTAAATATGCCTCAGACAAGGGATTGATAACCAGAATACATAGGGAACTCAAGTGCCTTATGCCAAAAAAAGTGATTAACCCAATTAAAAGATGGGAAAAGGAGCTGAACAAAAATCTCTCTAAGGAAGACATACTTTTTTAAAATGAGCTGAACAAAAGTCTCTCTAAGGAAGACATATGAACAGCCAAAAAGCATATGAGGAAATGCTCAACATCCCTCATCATAAGGGAGATGCAGATAAAAACCACAATGAGATACCACCTAACCCCTGTCAGAATGGCAAAGATTAAGAATATAAAAAGTGATAAGTATTGGTGGGATGTGGTGAAAAGAGAACCTTCCTACACTGTTGGTGGGAATGTAAACTGGTTCAGCCACTGTGGAGAACAATATGGAGGTTCCTCAAAGATCTACAAATAGAACTACCATTTGATCCAACAATCCCACTTCTGGGTATTTACCTGAAAAACAGCAGAATGCTCAGTCAGAAAAGTGCTTGCACATCAATGTTTATTGCAGCTTTATTCACTATTGCCAAGACATGGAACCAACCTAAATGTCCACAAACTGATGAATAGATTGGAAAAATGTGGCATACATACTCTATGGAATTCTAAACAGCCATAAAAAATAACAAGACCTTGGCATTTGATAGAAAATGGTCAGTTATGGAGGATCTATTGCTGAGTGAAGTAAGCCAGGCTATGAAAGAAAGATATTGTATGTATACACTTAATATATACTAACTATCTGTGTTCTATGGTAGATAGTGAAATATTGGAGGACATAAAAGCAGTGAAAATACTTAATGAGGATAAGACAGTGTGGAATGGGGAGGTGAAGAGAAGAGGATAGAGAAAGATAGCAAGGGAACAAACAGAGAGGCATGACATTAGTGGGACACAGATATGGCTTATTACCTATTGATGATGACGTGTATAGTATTCTCAACTGGATTGGTCTGAGAAGTATTTCATGATGGGTAAAGTCTTTTTACAAGCAAAATGAGAAATAGTGATTGATTGGTTAAAAAATAATTGAAATAATAATAATAATGATCGGGAAAAACAATGAAAAGTTATTGAATGACGAAGTGGGGGTGTTAATGTCTCTGTACTGACTGACATGCATGGCATTCCCTTTTGAAAAAGCAATGTAATACACTGTAAAGTTACATGTGATTTAATGTAATATAGACAAGATTATGATATGATAAATAAATTTATAAAAGAAAATATAATGTGTACATAATTCTTTTTATTATTAATATTAGGGCTTGTCAAAATTAGAAATCTTTACACTTTAAAACATCTGCATGATGATTAAAATTAATTAAAAAAATCAGAAGTGACAATATATTATTATCTATCCTTTTATACCAGATATCAGAATGAAGAAATCAACAAAAAGTAATTAGTAAAACTCCACTGTGGATTAAGATCAAATGTCTCCACAATAAAGTCATTCTCCAATAAGTATGAGTGTAGATGCTGTTTGAATAAATTGGTTCAGAGACATCCTCCATTACTATAGACTCAATAATATTCATAAATTTAAACTGGTAGGTATGAAAAAAGTAACTTTTTTGTAGATTTTATCATTTTGTACTTGTAACTAAAACCAGAATAACACACACACTAAGGGCTTGCATATGATTTTCCTAATATAGGTAAGTGACACATTTATACAGAACATTTAAAATAATAAATACACATTTTATTTACAGGAATTGAGAATGTTAAGGATATTAACTTTTATGTACAATCATCCAGATTAAACCATTTTAGTTTTATTTTTCTATTTACAAATACTTTTCTTCCTCTTTTCTTTTTTTCTTCTTTCTTTCTTTCTTCTTTCCTTTTTCTTTCTTTCTTCCTTTCTTTTTCTTTTAGCTCAAGAAGAGTTAAAATGAAGTCTATCCGTAGATATATAGTTGAGAATGTGTGTTCATTCACTTGCTTCTGTGATAGTAATCTTCTCTACCATGTCAGGCAGATTTTCAGTTTCCACATCTTCTTTGCCATTATCTGAATTTCCTGATGAGATATAACAGCCAGAGTCCCTTGGGCAGTCATCTAACTGTGACTTGTTTAAGGAGATGTCTGGGTTTAAGGATAAGGGAATAGGTTCATTTTCTTGCTCTTGAATAGCTGTAAATAGAAAAAAAGGCCAGAAGTTAGGAAAAGCCAAGAAAAATTGTAATTAAGTACTCATTCACTTTCAAGGATTATCCCATTTTACCTGTTCCAACCTTACTTCACTGCAATGAAAACTTCTGTAAGTAAAATATATATTTGCTTATTAAAAGGAGATAGGTGTACTTAACTATTCAAGCCACCATTTTCTTAGAAGACAACAGTTTGCTCTTCTCTGTTAACTCATAGTTTCATGGAATTCATATGTACTGCTTACATAAACAAAGATCAATATGGACTCTCAGTTTACATTAATAATAAGGTGCCAAACAAAGCAGACTGTATCCACAGTGTGACTGATGCCTTGTCCAAATACTCCTTAAAGTATCATTAGAAAAAATCATTTATAGTTTAAATGTACAATCAAGTCAATAGTGAACTTTGTGAACGGTTCTGGAATTGAATCATGACAATGTGAATCAATGAATAAATTATTACCATGGTAGCAATGTACAGTAGGACTTCAACCACTTGAAATCGAACTAATAAAACCTTAAGCATTGAGAATTTCATTTTTTTTGTATTCATCAGAAAAATACAATTAAGTAACCAGGTTGTTCTTAGAGAGTAAAAGCACCAAAATTTCCATTCGCCGGCCTTATGAATATTAGTCTGTAGTTTGCAACTTTGTACTGCTGCACAACCATCATTTAAGTTCAGATCGATAATTGAAAGCAATGCTCTAGATTAAGCAGGCATTATTTTTTGGAAAAAAATTAATAAATTTTTTTTAATTTCTTTTTTTTTTTGGAGAGGTTTTTGCTACAGGGCACGTGCGATCGCTAGACAGACAGAGAGAGACATAAGACAGAAAGCGAGAAATCATCCGCCGGGGGGATGGCCACGCCGCAATCCCTTCTCTTCCATTCTCCTCTCAGGATCTTGGGCACGCACGCACACGTGCCAGCGTGAGTTTTAAGCCACCAGGTCCGGGACGCCAACCGTGGTCGACTACGTGGGAGTCCAGTGACATAGCCATTACACTAACTGCTGGTTCCCAGAAAAAATTAATATTTTAAAAAAGCTGTTTCTAAAGAACCTAAGCAGGCTTATAAAGTGTTACTCTTCAAAAGATTCCTTTAGCAACAACTTTCTCTGTGTCAATGAGAAGTTTCTTTGCCTTCCTGGACACAGGAGATGGATGTTTCTCTGCATCATGAGCAGAGCTCTTTAGAAAATAAATGGTCTCAGGGACCAGCAGTTGGCGTAATGGCTATGTCTCTGGACTCTCATGTAGTTGACCACGGTTCGAGTCCCAGACTTGGTGGCTTAAACTCACACTGGGCGCGTGTGTGTAAGTGCCAAAATCCTGAAAGGAGGATAGAGGCGAAGGGATTATGGCGTAGCCATACCTCCTAGTGGGTGATTTTTCGCTGTCTCTCTATCTCTCTCTGTCTTTCATGGGGATCGCACCAGCCCGATTAACAAAGGTACCGGGTGATTTAAGAAAAAAGAAAAGAAAAGAAATAAGAAAAGAAAAGAAATGGTTTCAGTCTAGCTGTACTAGTGGAGATTTACCACTTTAGATATTTGAATAGCCCCACATCAGAACCAAACACACACATTAATGGAGAGAGAAGAACCCTGCCTTCTAAGGCTATGTCCTCCATTCCTTCCGGTGAGAAGACAGTAAATTCAAACTTCAAATCCTTGGAAGAAGAAAATTGTATAACTTTCTTCAGTAGATTGTTTTAGTGTTAATTAATTTGTCTTTAGGAAATAATCTGTTATCTTATTTATACACCTGCTTTTTTAAATAGAACATCCTTTCTAATTATTTATTATTATTAATTTATTTTGCAACAGGGCACCAGAGAGAGAGAAAAAGTGAGAATGCAGGCCACCAGATCTGGGACTTGAACCACAGTTTGCCATGTGAGAGTTTAGCTCTTAATGACCATACTACCTGCAGGCCCTATCCATCTGCTTTTAGGTGCATTTCCTAGGTTCCACATATCTTGCCAGCATGAGTTTATGATGCACTGTATAATCAGTTGTCATCAACCTCTGTCAAAAGTGAAAATTGGGCCCCAGAACACTGTGGCATGCTTACATTTAATGAATTAACTTCTTTTTAATGTATCTAAAATACTATTAGTTATGTACTCTTCATGGGAGAACTGAGAAAATGATCACTTAAAACATTTTCTGTATTCTGTGGTTTTGATGATGAACATTGGTTGATAAAGGTTGAAAAAAGGTGCTATAAATTGCTTCTTACTCTACTCATCTTCAAAATCAATCATAATAGTTATTTTAACCTTTCCTCAAGGCTTTTATTTGCAATAGGGAAACCATATGTATGCTATTCAGAAGAATCTTCTCCACACATCCTGCATGTTTATTTAACTATAGATTCAAAGATCACAGTAAGTCTAGTGATGTCATTACTTGTTGGGGTATTAATTTTGGCCTTCATTTTAATATGTTCCTATTGTGACTGATATTTTAAATTTTGAACTACCATGACGCATTTTACTTTTATAGGTCATAATAATCTTTAAGTTTTGGAGCACTTACTTCCTAGTTACTAGTCTTTACAAATACTAGTAATGCATTTGCTTCTAATTCCTTCCTTGGGATCAGCAGTTAGCATAATGGCTATGTCGCTGGACTCCCATGTAGTCAACCGCGGTTCACATCCCAGACCCGGTGGCTTAAAACTCATGCCGGGTGCATGTGCGTGCATGCCCAAGATCCCGAGAGGAGAATGGAGGAGAAGGGATTGTGGTGTGGCCATCCCCCCTGGGGGATGATTTCTTGCTTTCTGTCTCTCTGTCTCTCTCTGTCTGGCGAGTGCACGTGCCCTATGAAAAAAAAAAAAAACGAAAAAAAAATAATGGTGTATTTGCTTCTAAGTCCTTCCTTTATGAAAAGGCAACACAGAAGTGGGATCTCATTCTTTGAGGAATTGCTTTGCTTCTTGACTTTACTTTTGTATTTATTGCCACTGAAATGAAATGAGCCAACTCTGTGTCCCATTTCCCATGTTTCTGGGAAAAGTCAGAGGAATTAGTCCTTTTGTATGCATTCTAGCATATTATTTATGATCGCCATATTTGGATTATGACCCTCTTAGTCAAAACGGTTGTGGGGAAAGGACACATTTCCACATCTCCTCAGATCATGTTTGGGTCTGTCATCTCAACACGAAATGGAAAGAACTGAGCTAGTTTCCTTCATATTGATATCCTAAATAAGACTTGGCATAATAAAAACTGCTCTCATGACCATTCTATTTAGGTTGATTATCAATTGTGAGTCTCTTTTCAAGATTGAAAACTTGGGTTTAAAGAACTCTAATTTCCAAAATTTGCCGTTTTTCTTTCAAAAAATAAGCACTTCGCTTTTTATTTCATCTTCCAAAGTCCTCTATATATTTGCCTCAAATGGTAACAAAGTAAACAGGTAATAAATGAAAAAAACTAACTTTACTGGGACCAGCAGTTAGCATAATGGCTATGTCGCTGGACTCCCACGTAGTTGACCGTGATTAGAGGCCTGGGCCTGGTGGCTTAAACTCACGCCCGGCGTGTGTGTGTGTGCGTGCCCAAGATCTCGAGAGGAGAATGGAGGACAAGGGATTGCAGCGTAGCCATTCCCCCTGGGGGATGTTTTCTCGCTTTCTGTCTCTCTGTCTCACTCTGTCTGTCTGCTGAGCGCATGTGCCCTATTGCAAAAAAACAAAAAAAAAACAAAAACTAACTTTAACAAAGACTATATCATTGTTTAATATTAGTAATAAACCTATATCTGTTTTTCTTTCCACCCTAGAAATGCTATTTTACATTCTCTAAATTGTAGTAATTGGCTTGTTTTAAATACAGGTTATTTATTATAAAAAACCTTTGATCCGAAATGTTTATGGATAAAGAAAATAGTTTCTCAGTATGAAAGTTATGCAGCTCAGTGATTTACAGAACTGTAGTAATTGGCTAAATGATTTCCTAGTGAAGTGAAAACATGACTAGGTCTCCTCAAATGCTTTCCACCAGGCTCACAGTAATTTCAGGTGGGTGATCAGTTGAAACCCCTTACAGGTAACTATACAAAGAAAAGGAAGGTCATTATGTTATATTATGAAGATGAGAGATAGACAGCATTTGGTTTTTGTATTTGGAGAGTTATGATTTTTCTCTTCTTGTTTCTTTTCATTGTGACATGAATGACAGAGATTGGTGTCCTACTAGGTCTTCTGCTAGGACTGGTTTTTATTGCAGAGAAGATGAATTCACACTAATTCATCCACATTTTCTTTCTAAGTCATTTATTCCCTTCAGGTAACCATGAAACAGAGTAAAGCTAGCTGGCCTACCCAGAAATTGAAACCATAACCTTCATCAGTTTCGTCCCATGGTCTAATCATCTGAGTTAACCAGGCAAGTAACACATTGGAATAAGAAACAGTTTGCCTCCAACATTACAGACTTCACATAAGATATCCAAGTGAATCTTTCATACCAAATGTTTCTGACTAATTATTAAAAATTTTAAAGTACATATGATTCATGTATTTGATTATTTAAATAATATAAAAACATATATGCATGTATATGTTTTCGCCTTCATATGCAATTCTCAAATGAAAGTATTCAATTTTAGTGTGTCTCTATATATCTCAGATCACCTATAATATCTTACATTTTATATATATTTTTTTGACAGGTTTCCACTATAAGGTGCATGCGCTTGCCAGACAGACAGAGAGAAACAGAGAAACAGAAATCGAGAAATCACGCCTCGGGGGGATGGTCACGTCGCAATCCCTTCTCCTCCATTCTCCTCTTGGGATCTTGGGCATGCATGCACACGGGCCCAGCGTGAGTTTTAAGCCACCGGGTCCGGGACGCGACCCGCCGTCGGCTACGTGGAAGTCCAGCAACATAGCCATTACGCTAACTGCTGGTTCCCCACATTTTATATTTTTAAAAATAGAAAAATGGCATCATATTTTT